TTAATTAAAAAATTGTGCATACATACAAAAATGTAATACTAAACATCTACATTATGACGAACTATTTAATTATGAATAATTAACTTCTCATTGTTACTTGTATTATATTGTTATAAAAGATTTCACATATTACTTTTTGTGATATCTTATATATGTGAACATTTACGTATACAAGCACATCTATCTATCTAGCTATATATTATATAAGTAAAAGAGAGTTTTCATGAGGAATTTTGTGAGAACTCCAAAATAATGAATTTAAATAGTGTTGGGATTGCAATTATATTCTAATCCTAACATTATTTACACCGTGCCTTCAGGCACGAGCATACGCTAGTCTTATATATGTCAACATTTACGTATATAAATATAAATTTATATATGTTACTGTATTCATACATTGTTAATCTGCAATGTTATATTACCATCAGATACTTAATTTTCTAACATGTATCGTTTTAGTAATATAGTTACATTTGTTGCGAAAAAGCTACTAAATTGTGTATTGTTCTCTTATTAACTTATGTGCAAGACATATATATATATATATACCACAATAAACACTTTCAATAATAAATCAAGACTTTGCAAAACACCTCAATCATGACAATAATTATACTTTTCTTCCCCTCACAGAAAAAATCACATTATTGAGGGAAAATGGATTTTGAAATTCATAATAATATGATATCGCCTCAAACTCTTGCGCATCAAAATATTTTTATTACAATGAGTTGTAATGGTGAGCAAGAAGAAAAAAAAAAGATGGTAAAATAAAAACTATAGAAGATCTATTCCAACATACTCTCCAAGCAAAGTTAGACGAGCTGAAACAAGAATTGTCCTATCTGTTGTGAAGTTCAAGAAAAATAATGTACTTCATAAACACATTTTAGTCAAATTATAAGGAAAAAAAATCAAATGATGCCCAAACATTATTACAACAACTCAATGATGCAAAAAGTAAGTACATCAAATAAAAAGTTTTAAACAATTTTTGTTATATACTGATTACTTACCTATGCCATAATAAATTATGTAACTTGACAGTTTTATAAAAGTAACCCTGCAAACACTTATAAACATGGATCTATAAATATCGTGAAAATAATTATGAAATTTCTATATCAGTCAAAATATTAAGCTAGAATATCATTCCATTTTCTTAGAAAAAACTATTCCACATTTTCTACATAAATGAAAATATAGTAATGACTAATGTTTTATTTTTCATCATACGAGATATTTATGATACAGGAAACAAGACTCAACAACTCTTGATGTATAAAAATATATTACGTATTGATATTAATGCATTCTTACACCAATAGTATGGAAATAATATGCAATAGTTGGTTCAATGAATTTGTATTATGATTTGAACTATTAAACAAAATTGTGTAATTGTGTAATTAATTTCATATTCAATTATATTACAGGTACAGATTATGAAAAATTGAAGTGAGAAGTTGATAGAAAATGATTTGTGTAATACTATATATTTAAAGGACCTGCTTATTATTTAAGATAAGATTATAATCTCAACAATCTAACTATAAATTATGTTTATAAAATTTCTCATTTATCATTTAAATTCTTCAACCGAGTATGTATTCATTTCTTGCTTAGTTGCATTTTGGATACAAATCAATTTATTCATACAAATCTCCATAGTTTGTATATATGTATATATATATATCACATATCAATTTAAGAAACATGCATAATTACAGTATTAATAGCTGATGAAAAATGGCGTGCTACGTGCAACGCATGTGCCCAACCACTAGTTATATATCAATTTAAGAAACACGCATAATTACAGTACTAATAGCTGATGAAAAATGGCGTGCTACGTGCAACGCATGTGCCCTACCACTAGTTATATATATATATATATTTATAATTAAACCTTGTGAGTATTTAGAAATATTATTTAACACTACTAAAATAAATACATGTAGTGTTCCAATTTGATTTGTATTTGTTTAGGTAGTGAGACTCATCAATTTTATCTTATTTTTTAAAAAACAACTGAACTGTATGATGTCAAGTATTGATTAAAATTCACCAAATAACTTATCTTATATTTATGTAATTAATTTTTTAATTTGTTTCATTATCACTTTTGTCAAAACAACAGGTTATTCTATAATATACACCATTTTATGTGTATCATATACAAGTTATAACATCTATAGTGTTGATTACTACAAATGTCATAACTAGTCTTTTTTTAGTCATAACCAAACACTATTGTTGGCATCATATTTAAACCTACCAATTAGAGGTTGACACGTGGCAAGCAAGGGGCAATACATAAATATAGCAAATCATTGGAAAGCCCCTACTTTCGAAGCTGCTCACGTTCGCGGCGAGTGCAAGATTTTAACCGGTGGAGCTTTTAAACCACACATGGAAGGCATATGAGGAAGAAGTTATTTAAGGAGCAGTTACAAGCAATTATACGCACTCAAATGAATGAGTGGCCCTAAGAAGTAACTAAAGAAAAGGAGATCATGGTGAGAAGAATTAGCCCAATTGCATCAAAGGCACCAAATAGAGACTATAAATAGATGGAAACAAAGACTAAGAAGCCCCCCGACCAAATCCAGACTTTACGCCTTTGTCAATTTGATTTATCTTTAAATTTTATTTTTCAGCATTTTACTTTCATGCACTGCACTTACATTCCAAAGGAGTAGATTAACTCTATAATTCCAGAACTCGGTCGATTTAAAGTTTCGAAGTTGCCCTTACTAAAGGTAACATTTTATAATTGTTTATTTAATTAATCAATTACATTTTATGTCTAGTCTCTCTCTTTCCTTCTGCTATGAATTCAAGTTGAAAGTATTGGTTCATCTTTCAACACAACATAGAGAAAGTCCTTTTTATTGAGGCTAAGAGAACCTTAACACAATCGCTTGATAAATTTGATATTTATTATATGTAAGGATTTTTCAAATCTTTGCTGGCACGCTCTATTTACATTTCTAACATTCGATGTAGCACTTGTGTTCTTTAAAACCATTTAAAAGTGTATTTAATTACATCACCCTTTGTTATTGGGGTAATTGAGTTGGTGTATCATTGTTTTGGTAGAGTGAAAGTTGATTTAGACTTGCTAGAGTTGTCATTTCACGCTTAGTTTTGTTGAAAAGTGACTTAGGAATCTTAAATTCTATTCGGAGTGACCACACTAAGCTCTAGGAGGGTTGACACTTGCCTTCTTTTTTTCCTTCTTTTGTTTCTAGTTTATAGGGTCGACACCACCCTTCTGGGTGTAGGCACCTGGTTTATCTTCTTTTCTTCCTTTTGACTGTTGGTTATTGGTGTCGACACTAGGGCTTCTAGGTGTCGACACCTGGTCTATTTTGAAAAGACGTGTTTCACCTCTAGTTGGTGGTGTCGACACCACCTATTGCAGGTGTCGACACCTGACAGAATCTCAAATCTATTTGGTTGTAGTTTTGGCATCTTTTTCAAGATCTTTTGACTTATTATCTTGATTGACCTTGGGTTAGATATTTTCTTTAAACTACTACTATAAATAGGGCCTCAAAACACCTTTCTCTTTACTTTTTTTTCTTCTTCTTCTTCTCTCTCTTTCTCTCTCGCTCTCTCTCAATCTTTTCCCTTTTTCACTATGAACACCATTGTTGCAATTTGAGTTTTTGCTTTTTGCACTAAACCTCAGATCTACTCTCTTGTAGTCATCTCTTGGCCTGAGTCCTTTGAGATAAGTTGTAGAGCTTGTCGAGGGCTATGTTCTAGTCAGAGCAAAGTTTCATTTCACGACTTTTGATTTTGGAGCTTCTTCTCCTCTTCTCTATTTAAGGTAGAGATTTTTTTTTATTATTTACAATACCTTGATATATATAGATATGTGATATTTTTATTGCATAAACATGTTTGTTTTGAGACTTTCTTTGAAAATCATGAAAGCGGGTTTTAGGGTTTGAGCCTTAAGAGGTTAAGCTTGAGTTTTTTGTTCGATTATGTTGATAAAGTGTTGTTGATTATGTTTAGGATACTAGAAATGAAAAGGCCTAATTTCTATCAGTGTTTGAGAAAGTTGAAAGTGTTTATGTTGGGTATGCGTTGGCTATGTTTGCATAATAGCAATTGGGGATTTTGATAACAAAAAATTGGTAATGGTTGAGAATCTTGGAAATTTGGTGTAGTGGATTTGGTTTTGAATCAAGTGATGGGTGTAACCCTTTTTAAAAAATGAAGCGAGAGGTATTGAAGTTTTAATAGTATGAAATCAGTCGTGGAGTTTAACTATGAGGGTTCGGGAATTAAATTAGTGAGCCTTGTTGTCCTTAGTTATGAAATTACATTGTTTTATTTTGAGGGATGTATATTTATCGTTTAGAGTTTTGTCCTTGGCCATCTATGAATGATGGTATTATTTGTTGCTAAATAAATATTACGTGTCGACGTATGGGTTAGATTGTGTAATCTAATGTGGTGAGTTGATGATGTTGATGCACTTTGAATTAGAGATACCACTGCTTTCTAGTTAGCGCCTAGTAAATTGGTATTGTAAAGACACTAACTTTTGGTAATTACACTTGAGACCCTGAGCCTTAGGTTAATAGCATTTTAGCCCATAGTTTTGTAAAAGTCTGCAAAATGGTCCAATAAAGAATAATTTTCCATGTATATTATTATAATTAAATCCTCACCACTTTATAATTGAAAATAACCTAACACTTGGTTTTTATTTATTTTACCTCCTAGTCCCTAAATTAATCCATACATTTTATCCTTTTTTTTCTTTAATTTATTATTTATTTGAAAATGAATATTTACATAGGTATTTATAATATTATTTTGGGGAAAATTGGGCATGAAACCACCTAGAAGACTTGAGAAAAATATCTAGATATTTACTAGTCTTCTACTTTCCTTTGTCATTAAACTAGAGGGTAAAATTGTCTTTTCAACCCAAACTCCTTGTCTATAAATTGAGGTCATTTCCCCAATTCGTTACTCACATTTCAGCAGCCAAGGAGAGGGTGAGATGAGGAGATTGTGACTAGAGGGAAGTGGAGAAGAAGACGAAAAAAAAGAAAGGAAGAAAAGTTGATTTCTTGTGTTAAGGTAAGAACCACATCTCTCTCTCGCTTGTTTTCTCCAATTCTTTCACCCATCTCATCATATTGTCTAGTGTGCTCTCTTGTGTTATATATTAATGGTAAATAGGGTTTTGGTGTGTATGCAAGTGTGGGTATGAATTGGTAACTTTGTCTTGCAATTTGTTCAAAATATGCATTACTGCAACTTCTCTATTTTAATAGAAATATCAAATTAATTTATTTCTCAAATCTAAATTTAATATAGGATATTTTGTGTGTTTAGAGCTTATGATAATTTTATTAGCCCCTCACTGTGTGTTTTTAAGGCTTGGATATTTTGTTTAAGAAATTTGGTCCTGAGTCTCTGAAAATAGTCACTTCTCTCAATTTTATAAAATTTCAGAAAAATCATCTCATGTTGTTTCTTTTGTCAAAATTTAGAATTCTAAGTCCTCTTTCCAACAGAATTTATTTGGGTGGAAATCATCAGGTAGATTGAGAGAAAAGCTAGTTTTCCCAAAAGGTGACAAATCTGAACCAGTTTTGGAACATAGCTTGTAGATGAATTTTTGGATGTGCTATGCAAATTCTGAAAATGGGAACTGAAAATAAACATGTTGTTTATTGTTTCTGTGAAATTTCAACCCCTAATATGACCTAGAAGTATTTTTACCAAAGCATTCTTGTTAACTCCGCAGTTTCGAAAAGTGCTGGAACTTGTGCCTTATTGTGTTATTTGTTTCCAAATACTTCAAAGCATGCCTAATGTAGTTTGCTTATTTTACCATACTTATGTATTATCATGGACTATATTTCCTCTGTTATGTTTGTCTCATGCTCTTTTATATGACCGAATGTGACTAACTCACTTATCAAAATATCTAATAAACGAGAAATGAAAAGGGGTTGGTAATAGGTGGTGTTCACACTAGTGTTTCGGAATGATTTATGTAATATGCATATGATTGAGATGAATTGTGATGAAATTAATACCAAATGAGTTAAGTCTTGCGCAAGCGGTCTAAGCGAACCCCTAGGATGGCACGGATGTATTCAGACTCTATGCGATAATGTTAGGGTGTAAGCGAGCCCATTGGTATGGTATGTGTAGGGTATAAGCGAGCCCACTTGTTTGGTTGTCCCTTTTGAGGTCCACCACATCCCTACTCGGTATATAACCGATGTGGGCATAGGTGGTAAGGTTTGCAAAGCAACAAAAGTGAGAGTTCTGAATAGTCCGGTGTCCAATCCTTGTGGTTGGGAGGAAGGATCTCTTTGGGAGATTCTAGATGTCTAATCTAACTACTAATTTAGAGTACCTTATTGTATTATTGCATTTTATGTTTCCCAATTTATTCTGTGTATGGTTGATTGGTTGATAGAAGGTATGAGGGTGCTTATTTTTACTGGGCATTCCAAGTTCATGGCGTGTCATGCCAGGTGATGAAGCAGTTTACAATGGTAAAGGTTATTTCGAAGGCAAACAAGATGAAGTGTTGGAGCCGTAGTTCACTTGAAGACTTAGACTAGTAGTTTTTTTTTTTTTCTTTTTCTTTTGACTTTTGGTTTGGCAATGTTTTGTAATCCTGTAATGGAACACAAATGAATTATCCGTGATATTAACTCTGGTTATATATGTATATTAAGATGTTTTGGTTATCTATCATGCTTGTGTCGTTTTATTGTACTTATTTGATTGTCTCAAATTTTGGGGCGTTACAAGTATTGTTGTGTAGGGTGTATCGTTTGCCTTCCGTGTTTATGGCCGGTAAAATACGGATTATGTTATTATTGTTGTGAAAAGGTGTACCGTTGGCCTTCCGTGCTTATGGCCGGTAAAATATGGATTTATGTTTCGTTGTCATCATGGTTTATTTTTTGGTGTATCTTGTGTTGGGTGTTTTATTTTCCTTTGTGCTTCAGGCCATAAAATATGGTATGTGTTTTTAAGAACATTGTGGTTATGGTTTTTCTAATGTAAGAAGTAAAGGAATGAGTTGAATTATAAAAGACAGGTTGTAAGAGTTTTGGAATGGTTTATGTGTTAAGAGTCAAATGATGAATTGTAAAAATAAGAAATGAGTTTCTTAAAATGTTAAAAAGGAGTTTTCTTTTGGGAAGGGATATACTATGTATGTGTATTTTGGTATACAAAGATGTCACTACTTTTTTTTTTTTTTTAGATGTTTCAAAGATGTCACTACTTATGTGTTTATCACTTGAGGATCATGGCCATAACTATGTATGCATTGTGATTGTTTAGGATCATTGGGATTTCTAGTAGACTCTATATGTTCATCCCTTGTGTTGAAAACTTTTCAAGTACAAAACTAGAGAGTGGTTCTGGATCAAAGGATCTCTTTTATTTGTTGACCAAAGGGCCTGATTCTTGTAGGCGGAGTGCCTTAATATAATAAGAGTTGCACTTTTTTTTGTTATGTAATTTGTAAGCCTAAGGGCATTGTCATTCAATTGTAGTTCATTTGCATCATATATATGAACGAGAGAGAGAGAGAGAGAGTTTTTATTATTTATTGTTGTTTATGGTAATAACTTCCACATGTATTATATTGGAATTAGATAATGATAATAATAATGGTTATGGTAATGTTAATCGGGTCATAAAATACAAGGTGTGACAACTTGGTATCATAACGAGTCAGATTTGAATACTTTGGGTTCGTGGGAAGTGATTTTTACCACAATGGGTTTTGTTACACTTGGTAAGAACATTTACATATAGGTAGATTAAGTGTTAGGACTCTATGTGTTGCATTTATGTGAGCATGAGGTTGAGTTTCTTGGATAGTGCTTGTAACCGGTTGGCTTGCTTAGAAGTCTCATTGGAAACGTGTCTGATCAACGCAATTTCTTATGAGAATTTCTTGGGAGTCTAGAGAATATCCTTGTGAACTTGGCTCGATTATGACTAAGTGTTCAAAACTATTTATGTGCAAGGTGATTATGTAGTTTTATGCTAGATGGGTCTTGTAATCCAGCGATGGTAGGGGTGTGCCTTGGAGAAGGCTAGAGTTGGGTTTGCTAATTTTGGTTTTGTCTTTTGTTAGGATGTCAAAACGAAGGAGTAGAGGATGTGCTGGAGTAGAAGTGTCGATAGGAGCACAACAGTTCTAATAGTATCCGTCTTCGTAGCGCTGATTGTGGGCGAGGATTTTTCACGCAAGATTGTATGACCAGTAAGGGATGTCCTAGCTCACAATGAGTGGGATGATACTCGTGCCCTTAAGCTTATGAGGAGTTCTGTCACTTCAATCCACCTGAGTTCACAGGAGAGCCTGATCAGATAAAGGTTGATGATTGGTTAGAGCAAATCATCAAGACTTTTGATAAGTTCAGAGTTTAGGATAACGGGTTAAGAGTTAATTTGGCGAGTTTCCAGTTGAAGGGAGATGCTGGGTATTGGTGGAGGTTTGTGAAAGCCACCGTTGGCATGTCTTCGGTTGATTGTGTTCGCCGAGGCCTTTCTAGCCAAGTATGTTCTTTCTTCCGCTCGGGAAAGGTTGATGAACTAGTTTGTTGAGTTGCATTAGGGTATTACTTCTTTGGCACAATAGGTAAGGTTTACCAGTTTGGATAAGTTCGCTCCAGAGTTGGTAACAATAGAAGAGCACCGGTGTCTGGAGTTTGAGAGAAGATTGCATGAAGATATTCAGGGAAAGGTTGATGGATCTATGTTTAGAAACTCTTACGCGTTGGTTGAGGTGGTGACCCATGTGGAGGCTCTGATTTTGGTTGTTGGTTAGGATAGAGAGGAGGCCACATCGACAATTCCTATTGTTCGTAAGCACACTAGGCTTAGTAAGAGGTGGAGAATAGTGAGATCTCAATCTCAGGCACAGTTTCAGTCTTTGTCAATAGTTTCGGTCTCGTCATTTGGGAGGTCGAATGAGGTTTAGGCCTCAGGCCAGTCTCAGAGTAAAGAGTCAGCTGTTTGTTTTGGTTATGGTTTGTTGGGCCACGTTAGACATTTATGCCCTCAACGTGAGACATATTTGGATGTTTCAAAATCTAATCAAACTCGGTCTCATCGGTCTAGTCAAGGACGGTATCAATACCTATGGGCGCCATGCCTTTTTTGAGTCTAAGGTATTACTTCCCACACCGACTTGCTTTGACCAACAAAGAGTCGTTACATAATTTTTAAAGGAGAATTAAGAAACGTTTAACACTGAAAACTAAGTTAAGGCTCAGTCCATCATAACCAGAAAAATTCTAGGCTCGGGAACTTAGGTACAAAAAGGAAAGGCCATCTTCATAGAATTACCCCATTTTGCCCAATCCGAAAATTGGCCTCTACTCACTTTCTGTTTTATGATTTTAGTGGTTAATTATTCAAAAACTTCATTATCAGACCCAAAAACCGTAACTAACCTAAAACTATGTGATTTGAATAAAATGAACATCATTTATTTTAAATTAAAGAAATAAAGCCATATTTTCCAAAGATAATGACTTTTTTTTTAAATAAAAAGTGAATTTTATCAATCCATGGTTATATACCCAACCTAAAATAAATAATATTCATGAAGACATTCAAAACAAACAATTTTGTATCAAAAAGCATATAGACTTGGATTATTGAAAAATAACACAAGTAGCACACATATGGCAAAAGGATGGAGGAAACTTACTTGGATGACCACTCAAGCGTCAAACATCTTACATCTGAGGACAGAAAAATAAACATGATCCTAATATGCAACTCGACATACAAATGATGATCTTAAGCCCTGCTTGAAGCTACCAAAATGATGATTATGCAAGTAAAGTAACTAACAAGCAAAAGAGAAGAATGCAAATTATTTATATGATGATTCAAACCGGGCTTAATGCATGATTTTTATAATCACATAATCATATTATCACATAGCATACCATATATACAAATGTCTTTATCAAGCAAGACAAATCCATTGTGGTAATAATCACTTCCCATGTACCCAAAGTATTCAAACCTGATATGCTTTGATACCAAGTTGTAATTCCTCGAAATAAATATGATAAACCATCCATTATGATAAGTAAATAACAATGCGAATCAGAGTATAAGATCCTTCTATTACGTAAGATTCAAATGTACAAAAGAGTGACACGTGTGAATATACATTCATAAGTCCTAACCCTGAATCTATAGCATGTGTCAATAACAAAAATAAGAAGTAAAAGTTAAATAGAAAATGGAAATGCCCTGAAGGCAACAACTTTCCAAGACAATGCTTGGTTACATCAAAAGTGAGTCTTAAGCTCAATACATATAAAGCCCTAGGCTTGTACAAACATTAAATACAAAATAAAAAAATTGAGCCTTCAACTCTACAATCCTGCCAAGCTAGTCCTTACTGGAGGCATCTCACAATAAAGGAAACATGCAAGAATAGGTAGAAAAGTGAAGAAAATTTGAAAAAATGAAAGAACTACATGATGCTATGATGGACTAACACCCTAGCAGGATTAAATATTGAAAAATATAGATTACAAACTACTAAAATAAAGACGGGAAAAGAATACTTACTCGCTGGTTTGCAATAAACCGAAGAAGAAGCGAAGGAAATACGAGTTTTCTTGCTTGATTGCTTCCCTCAAGCTTGGATTCTAATTTAGTTCAAGTTCTTCAAGCCTTAGATGATTTTTTAGTTGTCAGAGTTGTTATGGGAGAGTGTATTTTCGGAGCTAGGATTTAGGGAGAGAATAGGCAAAGGTTTTTCACTCAAAAAGCTCACAAAATTTGGTCCAAAGTCCAATCTCTTGAAAGAGAGGGCAGGGTCTATATTTATAGGCTTAGAGGATGCTTGGGGAACACCCTAGGTCATCCTAGGGTTCCCCTATCGCATTTTCCTTGCGCCTCTTGAACAAATCGCACTAAAACACCAAAATTATGGGCGTCAGTTGGATGTACAGACGCACAAGGCATAGCGCACAAATGAAAATGCATCCGTGGTTGTGCATGTGCACATCCTTGATGATTTTTCGTATTTTAGGCATATATTTCTCATCCGACATTGGATTGAGGCGAATCAAGTGGGGTTGGAAAGCTAATTCAAAGTTTGTGTGAAATAGAAAGTTTCAAATTCTAACTATTTCTAGGTGAAAAAAGGCCCTTAATACGAACCAACAAATGGTCATTTTGGCAAAAAATAGTTTTTGGCACGAAAATGGTAATACAACAATTCTAACAACTTCAAGCGTCTCTAAGATTGAAAATATGATACCTTTCATCATCAAGAAGCATTTCAAGCACCTAAGTCTTAATGGTTAGTCAAAATGGGGTGTCTACAGTACCAGACTCAAATAGGCCAGGCTTCGAGGGTCTCGTGGGGGTCGACTTCCCAGTCAACACAGTGATATTAACCTAGAGATGGGCCTTTTTACTGAGATCGGTAGTGTGATCCTTGGGATCTTGTTATTGATCGGTGTGTTGTTGGATGCTGAGGCATCATGATTGCATATTTGTATATATATTGTTTGTTTATCCTTATGTTTTGGGCATGTATTGAATTTTGAACTTTCTTTGGAATGAGAAGTTGTTATTGGGATTGGTGATCCTAGTGGTGTTGTATATCTGTTTATTGTCTCATGAGTTGAAAATGTGATGGCCTGTGAGCCTTATTTTATTTAATAGTTATTTGTTGAAGGCGAGTAA